CTGGACACTCCGTTACCTCAGCTCGTCTTTCCGCACTACAATCAATAAATCATGAATTATCTTAGTATAAATAAAAAGGTTTTTTTATAATTTCGGTTACGTTTCTCCATCATTTAAGAATATTTGCAAGTGTAAAACGAAAGTTACGCTATACTAGAATTTTACTTTCCTTTGTTCATGTCGTACATACAATTAGTTCCAATTTACCGACTCTCGTTATTAAAATATTTCTTAATCAATTATCGGTTAATTAATTTGTTATCGCCCTAGTAGTTGTAATTAAGCACGTGCCTCAGATAATCACGTATGTTATGAAATGTACTTACTTTTGATTTAAGAGTAAACGGTGCCAAGATACTGACCGTGCGATGGTTTTGACATATGTATGGTAAATATTTCATTAAGGTTGCCTGGAAGAAATTGCTACTATTGAAATATGTTTCCTGTACTTTCTTTCTTTGTATTTCCTTGTGTGCAATAAAGTATATTCTATTCTATTTGCAGAGGGGTGCACAATAATTATAATTCTAATATATAACATAGGTGCATTACACTCACTAATTGATTGTCAAAATACTACTATACAATGTCTCATGAGGGATTTACATATTCTACGCACTCCAGTTGTGGGGAGAATTAAATTATCTTTGTTCCTAGTATATATATCATGTACACTACTAATAGTTGTAACCATTAACCTCTTATCGTGAATGACAGATAGCCAGAGGTTTATTTCACTTCTGTTTAGTCCTCTAAGTTATTCATTTTTTTAAAAATTCCAATTTTTTTTAAAACACTTAAATATTACTAATAAACGAAGCTGATATATAATGAACAACAACAATTCAGTTAATTAATAAAAAGGTTTTGTTAATTAAACAGACAAGCCGAAAGGGATCGAAGCGTACTTAAGTTTTTCTATTAGTATGGAAATCTTTATTGATCATATTTGCGCCATTTACTTACTTCAGCTGCCTCCGATGCCGCCCCGGCCCTGACCGAAGTACCCCTTAGATGAGAGGCAACCAAAGTGTCTACACAAGTGGCGTCCCAAACAAGGGCTTTGCCTCTCTCCCAAGGGATCAATGTTAAACCGTCGGGTCTCTTACCATCGTCGCGTAAAATGCCACAGGGCTCTAAAATAGATGGAACATTGATGGAAACAAGAGCCCTATGGATGATGTCGTTCAGGAAACCGTGGCGAGAAAAACGGCCAGCACTTTTTTGACAAGAAAGCCCGTGGAGACCCAATTTGTCTACACTGACACCACAAGGGCATTGGTGTGGTTGACAAATCGGTGCCCCCAGACGGATTCCTACAGCAATGCGTAAGCTTTCATCGTCAAGTAATGTGCCCAAGTTACTTGATGGTAAAGCGTGAAGCCAATAGCTCGATTCTTTAGATGAGACTCCTAGGAAACGGGCACGCTCTAAATTACTTTCTAAAGATTGAAACGTATCTCTCTGTACTCTCCGCACCAAAGGAACATCCCACTGTTTTTGTAGGTTTACTTCCAGTGGGATATTTTCATTGGGACAGATAGACAGCCAAGACATCCTTGCCTCCTCTGCATAGGAAAGTTCTGAATCGTGATTAAGGATGTTATTACATAAATTATTTACGCTATGCACGGAAGCAAGGAAGGCAGGTAGAGCGACACTAGAAATTTTCCTTACACCGATACCACCAAAACGAATTGGCAGCGTAGCTTGAGTCCAGCTTAGTTCATTAAGAGATAAATTTAGAATTTTTTCTAGAGCTGATTTAAGATGGAAATCAATTTCGTTCAAAAAGTCACCGCATTTCCAAACTGGACTCGAGCGAAGGAGGTACGAAAATTTAGGTACAAGAATACAATGTCGCAAAATAGTAAGCGCAATATGCGAACTTAGTAAAAACAATTTATTGACATGATCTAAAAATTGACTTAACTTTAATTTTAAATGAGGTTCCAAACTTGGTATCAACAAAGGAGCACCTAAGAGGTAAAGTGAATCTAATGAGTTTTTCTTAGATAAACAATTTATTAAACGATGAACCTTTCGCCGTAGGACTACGGAATATTCATAATAATCTTGACACATAAGCCTACGAATGAGAACCGGGATTTAGTTTTAGTAACATTTTTAAAAATTCTGAAGCGGCTGTGAAGTATGCCCTTAATACACATTAGCAACATTATGACTGCTGTTTATGAGAAATAACACGTCGATAACCTTTTTATTATACCAGTGATAGGGAAATGGAATATTTATCTAATTTTATCTGAATGACCTTTATTATTAATTGGCATGTTTAATTCCTTAGCAATATTATATGAACGATTTCAACTGTCTTACTATCGTGGTTCGCGAGATACAGCCGGCGACTGACAGACAGACAGACAGACAGACAGACAGACAGACAGACAGACAAAAATATACAAATTTTCTATGATAGGGCCACGCGGCAAATACTGCTGTTGCACGAATGGGCAGGCTCGTCCGAGGAAGTACCGCGGCCTCACAGAAGACCTGTCAGTCTGGTGAGTGAGGTAGCCGGGGTAAACTTTATGGTGGTTGTCAACGCTTCCGCAGCCCATCAGGTGTTACAGGATGTTATAAGTGTCAACGGGCGGGGTAATCACTTAAGCTAGCTTGCTAATTTTTAATTTTAAATAAATTTGGCAGCTCAATATCCTATAGGATTGGTATCGGTCTAAGGAGAAAAGATATTCTCAACATGAAAAATTTATCAAATAAAATCACTTGAACTACCAAACCTTCTTATCCTTATAATCCACTAGCTACAACAGTGATCGATCATATAATACGTTCATCAGATAAAAATGTGTATTTGCTTAGAAACAGCTACTGGGTCTGCATTTACCAATAAGATTTTTATCTGCGCGGTATCGCCTTATATTGGAGGCATAACACTATTGATAGTATTATCACAGCGATTGGCACGTGATAAGCACTGGCTGCATCATAGAAATGAGATGAAAGTAAAAAATTGCATGACTGTATTTTTTCTTCAAAGATTGATTTGGGATAATTATAAAACGGCGCTGTTCTATGACGGAGAAAGGAAGAACAGCAAAACAAACGTTAACCAATACAAACGTAATCTCACATTTTATTTTCATATACTGTACGTACCTTGTCGGCTCAAAAGTTCTGTCACTTTTTTTACTGTAACCATTTATATACCAAAAGGAAGTCACTAAAACGTATATTTTAATACTAAAAGCTTATTCAATATGACCACCGCGATTTTGAATACAAGCCTTAAAGCTGCGCGGGCAGCCGTCTATAGCAGCACATACGAGGACATCGGGGGCGGCTCTGATCAAGGATGCCTGGAGTGAACCCAAATCAGGATGAGTGAGAGATGAGGAGAGCAGGCTTTTTTCATCTAGTGTTGCCATATTTTTTTATCCAACGGATTTAAGTCTGCACTGGAGGACTGGACTTGGCCGCCAGCCTATTTTGCGTCTTTTTCGCACAATGATCTGAAGATGAATCTTGCTGAAATACACTGGGTATTCTGTCTGTTATTGAATATGGTACCTATGCGAAGGAGGTTCCACAAGGTTTGGAAAGTGGCCTCGCTGGATACGTGGAATGCAGCTGCTCGCTTTTTCACTGTTGTGGGCCTTCTCATTTTGATTGTTGTAACTCTCCTCCACGACATCCATTACGGCTCCGAAAAAGGAATTTAACTGTGTTTTTTTCCGCGTACTACTTTAACAAAACGCGCGATCTCAGGTATATTAAATGCGCATCCAAACAATACCCTGTTTTTCTTCGATAAGTTCGAAGCCCTAAGTTTTGACAGTTTTAACAGTTTCTGCTTACGCGTCCACCTCTTATCCAAAAATAAATGAAATTCGAAATAGTGCATTCGAATAGAATGTTGGAAATAAAACCGTTTAAAAACTTTTAAGTTAAACGGTTTTATTTTATGTTTTTTTTTTTGTTAAATTTTTTTTTGTTAATATTGTATTGTCATCTAAATTAAATGTGTGTACCAAATTTCAGATCAATCTGACAACGGCAAGGTGCTTAAATTTCAATTTCTAATTTTGACCCAAATAAACAAATTCCGTACGGGTCGAGCTAAATAAAACCGTTTAATAAAAATGGGCATTTATTCGAATGTTGAATTCAATAAATATTTTGTTAATGCTGTTCATTCAAAATTCAAAATATTTCAATAAGTGATAGAACTTATAACGCGACTAGGTACCTATTTTGTTAAATAAAATTACGCAATCAGCATTTTTTTTTTAATTATCAGAATTAAATAAATTAAAAAATTCACTTTTACTGAATTTTTTTCAATAAACATTTTAAGTACCTTTTAAGAAAGCATAGTTATAGTAATGAACAAATTACACAGCTTTTAATTTTAGAATTGTTCCCACAATTGTTATTAAATATTAATGAGAATCAGACACTATGATATGCTTTCCTAAAAGTTAGCAGTAATATACAGATAATGAAACAAAAAAAATTCTTGTTGCAGATAAAGTGATCGAGCTGTTGAAACAAGATGAGAATACACCACAAGACGATAAATCTGAGAATGAATGTCATAAACCTCAGATGAAAGTTCAAAATAATGGTCTGCGACAACAGATGAGAATAACAGAAACGATTCGAATCGCTTCAATCTTATGAAACAATCCCTTCCATAAGTAACGCCGCTTCCCTATCTTACCTCTTCATATTAAAAGAATCCGTACAGACTGTAAGATCCAAGTGCCTCTATTACAGTACAGATTTTATAAGTAAAAATATTTAAATTATCTATAATCGGTAGCAAGTAATGTAACTCTCATATCTTATCGACAATATCCTATATACAGTTTAGTACGTAGAAAAATACAAGGATGTATATTTTAATAAGATAAACGCTTAAAATAAACCATATCAACGTAGATCTCTCTTGCTGAAGCTTTCCCAAGTTTACGAGACAAATAGTTGTGAAGAAGTTTTTTGAAAAAGAATCGGCAATGTCTCACGGTGTAATAAAGACTTCGAAGAATGGGAACAACGTGCAGCCGTCGGAGTCCTCGAGAGAAGGCTCGGAAAGCCCACCACCGCCTCCAGACGGAGGATGGGGCTGGGTGGTGGTGTTTGCCTCATTTATGATTCACATAGTCAGTAAGTAATTCTTGCAAGTTTGAAAGACGATCATTTTTCGTTTATCAACATTATTGTGCAAAAACGTAAAATATTATGAACTCTTTGATCAATTCATTTTTGTTTGAAATCCTCTAAAAATAAGTAGACATTAAAGCTGTGTATGTATTGTAAAAAAAATATGTGTGTACTTATGTACACACGTAAGAAGTAATACTTCTTTAGCGTTACAAAAGAAAAATAACTACAAAATTTATCCCCTGTTCCAATACTCATAAATACATTAAATGTAATTAAGAACAGTTTAATTTGCAACCAACTTTATCGTGTCACTTTTTGTGACACCAACTTTGTGTGCGTGCGCATCGTAAAAATTATAACAATATTTCTTACTTGTTTTCTTTTTAAAAAAGCTCTGTAAGTTGTTTTAAAATAGTGTAGTATTATTGATTTTGTTCTCACAAAGGTAAAATGTGCCTATTGTCCAATTATGCACATAAGCACATATTTAGACTATTTATTTTATGACCAATTATGTAATGTATGTATTACATAAATCGCGTTATTGAGAAATAAGGCTAATTTAAGGAATAGGATAAAGAACTTATCTTCTTCGTCAAAATAACCCTACAAATAGAGTAGTATTGTTAACAGCTATCGATAGTAATGTATATAATTATGATATAACTGGTGTTTCTTATATCTGCCTACAATGATTTTCATTTTCTAATTAAAGAGCTTTTTATAGAAGCCCCATTTTACCTTTTATTGATACACCCCATCTAATCTTTGCTTAGAAAGTATTAGCGTTAATAGTATAATATTAATTTTCCCTGCTTTAGTAAGCCATTAGTGCTAATAGTCATTTTTCAAAAATATTAAGTAGAAAGCACTAGACACGTGGCAGGCACAAATTTAGCGCAGCTTCATGCTTTAAATATAATATATATAATTATGACTATATTATATTATTATTATTATATTATGATTTTTCTTTATAGGTATACAGCGTGTCGTTACCATCGCGACAATAAATGAACACACGTCTAGCGCTACTTGCCAATAATCATAAAAAAATATTAACGTTAAACAAAATCCATAATAAAAAAAATATTTTTCAAACAAACTAATTAAGTAAAAAAGAAACAAAATTTGTAACATCCTATACAACTCGCGCCACAGCGTCGTATTACAAGCCTCTCCTTCTAACAGTATGTTTTGTCTCTTTTAAATTCATTCAACCCATTCATATGCTTTATCTTATCCTTTAAACGAGCAATTCTTGTATATATATATAATCGTAATCTTGGAAACGGCTCCAGCGATTTTCATGAAATTTAGTATTTGCGTAGATTCGGGGGCGAAAATTCGATCTAGCTAGGTTTCATTTTTAGAAAATGTCCTTTTATCCCTATTTTCAGGGAATGAAAAATATAATTCGAATGTGACAGTAAATTTCGCCGCAAGAGAAAATGTCATAATAGCTCGGTCGGTAATCGGGCGGCCCCAAAACAGACGGCCGTGGTTTCGCGTCGCGATCATTTTCACATTTATTTTTTTACTTTTTTTTCGATTCCAGATCATTGCTTTCTTTATTTTTAATTTTTTGTCGATTTGTTATTTTGTTATTTCTTTCCCTTTTTTTTAAAGTTCTTTCTTTTGTGAAAAACATCAGTTCATATTTTCTTATTATTACGTCGGTAAGATCGAAAAATATTATGCATATTTCATTACTCAGTAATTTGTGTCTAAATGTAATTTCCAAAATACACGATTTACCAAAAAAAAAACAAACCGAGCAAAGCTCGGTCCTCCGGGTACTGACTGACCTTTACAAATGAACTTTAGGTTACGCTTTTATAGGTAAGGGTGTTCTAAAATTCTTTGTTTTAGAAAATTTAATAACTGTGTAAATATTGATGTTTAAAGAATTTAAATGTTTAATACAACTTTAAAAATTTATCCCCTATATGTGTGTTCATTTATTGTCGCGATGGTAACGACACGCTGTATAGAATTAATTGTCTGACAAACAAGGAATTTAATGTGTTAATAGTATAAATACATGTATATAGATCATACCGTATCGTTTAAATTATCTTTCAAATGTATGTTTACACACATACAGATGGAAGATAATTTATGACAAAATTTTAATGCTTAGTAAATTTACGTAGCAATGTTAACTTGTTGCTCTTAAATAAGATTAATTTGTGCGCAACTGTTCAAAAAAGATATATTTACCTTAGATACTGGCCGTCATCATTCTTTCTTATGAATGTAAAAATTTTATTACGTACAATTAGTAAAGTCACAGCCTATATATTTCCCACTACTGGGCCTTTTCTTATAAAGGTCCAGCAGTGGGAAATGCCGCTTAATACCCTTAAGCGACATAGTTCACCACGCGAGCCCGCTGCCGATTGCTAGACTTCATATCTTCGTTTATTTTTCGTTATTTCTTGAAAAACATGCGGGTTTCCTCATTATTTTTTCCTTAACCGCTGATAAGTCAGCACTTTAAATTGCAATTAACAGTTTCATCAGTTCAGGCACCGGGAATTCAACTCTAGTTGCTCGAGTGTAGAACTATAAGCGAGTATTTAATTATTAATGCAAGCCACATGACGAACTTCATAAATGAAACTCAAAAAAGTGCCTTTCCTCTAAAATTTAAAGTATGGCATATCTATTATCTTATCCTTTAAACGAGCAATTCTTGTATATATATAATCGAAATCTCAGAATCGGCTCCAGCGATTTTCATGAAATTTACTATGTGCGTAGATTCGGGGGCGAAAAATCGATCTAGCTAGGTTTCATTTTTAGAAAATATCCTTTTATCCCTGTTTTCAGGGAATGAAAAATATCATTTGAATATGACAGTAAATTTCGCCGCAAAAAAAATGTTATAATAGCTCGTTCGGTAATCGGGCGACCTCAAAACAGACGGCCGCGGTTCGTATCACGATCATTTACACAATTTTTTTATTCTTTTTTTATGCCAGATCATTGCATTCTTAGTTTTTATTTTTTTTTTTTATTTCCAAAATACATGGTTTACCAAAAAAAACCGAGCAAAGCTCGGTCCACCAAGAACTAGGATTTATTTGACAATAACTAAAATCAGGTGAATATTATTGTCGTTGATGGATAAAAGGCTATTCCTTTCCCATGAATCCGTTAGCTACAAGAATTATTTTACAAAGAATTTTAAATTTTATTAAAATTCCTTATAAAAATATTTCTTATTTTTATTACATACTTTTTTAACTAATACAATTTTATTGATTCGACACTTAGAGTGTGTGTGTATTTAGGACATGCAATGGTAGTTCCGACGGGGAGCGGGGTTGAGAAGAGATACACTAACATAGGCCAGATAACATATGGAACGAGGTGACCACGCTACTAATAGCTTATTGATAGGTATTTATCCGACACGTCACTTGTTGCTACGATATGCCTGCTTGCTGCGGTGTAGGAAAATAGACTAAAAATTTGCGAAACAAAGGAAACAACAAGTTATTACCTCGTTTACCGTATTAAATGTATTACATACGTCACTGGTCTGCATTTAAATTGTCTTATTACTTATAAATGAATAACGTAAGATAGTTAGTATTAATATCATTATATTACGTTATTTATTTAATAATTGATCACATTGTTTATTTTAGTTGTATTAAAACTAATTGGTGAATTCAAACCTAGGCTACCTTTTTATTCTTACTTTAAGAAATAATGATACATATTATATAAAATATCATAACACAACACAACATGACTTGTGTATCTATGATTCTTTGAGAGCAAACAATCCAATCATAGTTTGCTTAAAAAATCAGACAGTCTTTGTTTTCGCTTCGTCAACAGATAATATATATGTCATATGGATATCTCATTTTATATCTTATCTTACCTTGATGTTTTAATATTATTTACTATGTTTTTAAAACTGTGGTATAGCTACGTGCACCTTTAAATCCAAATGTCATAATAGGTATAATTATGTCATTATGTAACTAAATATGTAAGTGACATCTGAAGTAGATTTTTGACGATGATCCTTTTTTTTTCTTTACCATAGTTTTCAATATATGAATAATTAACCACCTGAAGATGCGTTTAACCTAATGTGGGAAAATTTCAAACATACAGTGGTAACAAAATTCTCTGTCTGAAACTTGGATAGTCCTTAGACTGAAAATTATTCTATGATTGAAATGAGTGTTTGTTTGTAAGTTTGGAAAATTAGACATGTGGCGCTTCGGAATTTAAAAACCTACTACTACTGAACGGGGTCCTAAAAACTTCTTTACAACTAATTATTACATTAAAATAAGACACGATAGCTCATTGCTGTAGTATACCTATTGAAAGAAAGTTGAACCAGAGTTCAAATCTCGATGCTATTGAAATTGATAATTTTAGGTGCTGACTTATCACTTACTCAGTGGATAAGGACCAACATCTTAGGGAAACTTGCATATTTTAAAAATAATAACAAAAAAATCAAATGTGGCACTCGGGGACTGCCGCGGTAAAGCTATTGCATAGCATCTATTATCAACTTATGCAATTATAATTATTTATTTATTTTATTTAATTATTATGTTTATTTATGCAGTATTTTTTCTTTTATATTTATTTTTTCTTTTTATTGATAAATAACATTATTTTTAATAATATAATTATTAATGTATATTATAATTAATTACTTGGTACCTATACATTTTACTACTTTTGCTACATTCCCGCGAGATATTTTATTTTATTTACGACAACCTGCGACTGGAATTCAACGTTATACCAGTGATTCGTAAAATTGATCTGAAATTTTCTCACATACTCACATAATCACATGATATGACAGAGTGATAATATTTATTTCATGTAGCTTAAATATGTATGGACAACTGAAAATGCATGCGAAAGTATAAAAAAAATCTGTTACAACATCAAAATCAACAACAACACTTTTTTCAGACATGACGTTCGTTGTTTCAATATATTCTATA